TTTTATTTCACAGCCGAGCGACTTTTAAGTGTCAGCTAAAGCTCGAAGTGAAATCAGCCATGCCAGTTGAGTTTTTCTACAGCCTTCACTCCCCCTCAGTGCCCCCCGCAACAACAACCACTGCACTATGGGGTTTTTGACCAGTTTTTGTGGCATTAATTAATAACTCGGTCAGTTTTGGAGATATCGACATGAAACTTTACCAATCATCATTATTTGTCCCTAGGCACATATAGTATGAAAATCGTTTGGATCAGGAAACTATATCCTATAGCTCCCATAGGAACGATCGGGTAAAAGTAAAGATAAATTGATGAAATTTAAGGAGCTTATATTTGTTGCTATTTTAACACGATATAGCAATTTTGAACAAAATCGGACAACGCTTTCTCTAGGAACAAAAATAACCAAAAGACCGGAATTCAGTGTTTTCCCATACAAACAGCCACCAAATTGGCGTTGAAAACAGTGAGGTTATCTAAGAAAAATTCAAATTGCACCAAAAGTGCGGAAAAGTGCACAATAAGACTAACTGATTTTTGCTCAGAATTGACAACGCTACAACATACACTTGGACGCATTAAAAACTAATGCGAACTTATATTTCAAAACTCTTCCCAAAGTTGAAATTTGTTTCTCAAAATTCAGCTTAAGGTGCATTTATAAAATGACAAAATGTCAGTATAAACAGGCACAATTTAAACAATTAATACACTTAACATGTAGTTAAAACCTATGAAATCAATGTCCATTAGTTTTTTCCTTCACAAATGGTGTCTTACACGAATAGTTTAATTTCAAAGATCACTTCGTTAAAATGGCAAACTTAGCAGACGTGCATTCGGATGCAACAGCTGACTTTGCAGCTGTTATGCTAACATATGCTGTTAAGTATTAACATTTTGAGTATGAGGCATAACAGTTCGATGTTTTGTTAATATAATCCCACTATTTTTTTTTAAATTTAAGAACTTTTAAAAAATGATTAAATGCCACAAAAAGTGGTCATAAACCCCATAGTGCACTGGCTCTTTGACTTTGGCTTAAAGTTGTGAGTGTGTGTATGTGTGTGTGTGTGTGTTATGGCGCTCCTCGACTTGTGTTTGCCTTTCATTTGCTGTCCACTCACGCAGCCTCACTTTAGTCGGGGCGCCACTTGGCCACTTGGCAGTAATCTCTGCCAGCCCGCCGACACTACCTCCCAACCCCCGCATTTACCACCCTCCTACCCCCCACCAATGCCGTGCACATAATCCGTTTAAAATGAGCGCCAGCGCGCTGTGCTCCAGTTTCCGCTGCTCCTGTCTTTCGAGTGCACTGAAATTAATTTAACGACTTGGCGCACTTCAAACTGCACAAAACACATGAGGAGCATAAGAAGTGGGTGGAAAAAGTCACCAGGCACCCGCTTTTCCTGTTGCTTAGAAGAGGGTTTCGTGAGGGGGGTGGGGCTGGGACAATGGCAACTTGACCTTGACACGTTCGACGTTTTCTTCCTTCTTGGGCTATGTTTTTTTTACGTATTTTTTGTGAGATTTTCGCCCCGGCTTACGTAAATTCAATTTTCAGTTTGATGAAAGCAAAGTTCACGCTATACACCAGAATGTGTGTGTGGGTGTGTGTGATGTCCCTGTGTGTTTGGATTACCTGAGTATCCTGTGCCTGCAGGTATGCAATGCCATTTGTGCACAGAGAATAAATGTTATAGAAATTGTACAAATATTTAAATATTTTTGTAAGCAAAAAAAGTTTACTAAATATACGTCGATTGCTTAAAAATCTTCAAAATATGTAAAATGTCTTAACGAAAATTATTGGAAGACTTTTCTAAAGCCTCTATCATATATTCTTGATTCGCAAATATTTCTGAAAAAATTATCCTTAAGTTTTGCCGTCTAAAAGTAGGCAAAATAATTTGTCTGGTACATTAAAACTCTTAATGGACGTACTGGAAGCTAGTCAAGTAAAATAGCAAATAAGAACTACCTTCGAAATCTTTAGTAATAATTACTTATAAATTTTTCTTAAATAGTTCACTAAATTCTTTACAACAATTAAACACTTTTCAACAATTAAAACCGTTTTAAGACCTATAAAGCATGCTTTTAGGCACGGAAATAAATGATTTAAAATTTCTGTTTAACTTTCTCTTACACTTTATTAATTATTTATTAATTAAAGCTTGAAAATAGTGTAAGCAAACTCCCTTAAAATTATTATTATTATTATTTTCAACTTTTTTGTTTCACTGGAAAACGTATGAGGAGAACAGAGTGCAGAGAGAACGGTATAGGTAGAAGCGTGTGATTTGCACAATCTGCACACAACTCGAAATTAAATTCGGGCCCGGCAACAGCTCGAACTTTTTTTCTTTTTATTTTCCTTTTACTTTATTTTTTTTGCTAAAGGTCAAAATGTTAATGTATTTGAAATGAGCCGCCACAAATGGAGGCAGAGTGCGACCAGCAGAGGTCGGGGGATGAGGACACCAGAGTCCGAGGCAACAGCAGCCGAAAAACGAGACTCAGATGCGAGATATGGCACAGAGAGAGCGAACTTTCGCCCCTCCGAAAGTGGCAGAAACTTGTCCATGTTCATTCAACTTGACACGGTCGCCAGCGGGCAGACAAAACTCCCCCCAAAAAAAAGTATATAAGAATACTAACAAAAAATACGGGAGACTTAGGCCTAGTTTGAGTTGAGACGGTGTAAATACCCTTGAATTTAAATATATTTTGTATAGAAAATATTAATCAAAATATTTGTAAATGCAAATAATAATAAATTAAATTTTTAACAAATATTTCAAAGATTTTTAATAGATTTTCATCACAAAAAAATGTATATTTTTTTAGAGCGTAACTTAATTTTAATAAAATTATGTGTCCATTATTAAAAAAAACAATTTAAAGTTTTTTCTATTTATCAATTGACTGCTCAATCAAGAAACTGATCTTAACTCCTATAAAATTCCTTTGTTGCCTCCCATTTTTGCATTTAAGGGGGTCTTCTCATTGGGCAACTTTTTTTTTTCGATTTTTTTTTTTTTTGCATTTATTTATAGCTTGGGATGGTGTGTATATGTCCCCAAAAGGATTTTTAGAAATTCGAAATACTTTAGAAGATACAGCCTTTTTTGTGAAGCAAGATCTATGCAAAATGAGCTTTTTTCAAACTTCAAACGTGTTTATCTCGAAACCACGTTTTTCGAATTGGCGGCCATGATATCTCCAGTTCAACTGAACCGATTTTCATGAAACAAAGTGGAATCGACGCAGAATTGTCACCATTTTTGGCTGACGGAACAGATTTTTTTTTTAAATTTTTTTTTCTATTTTTTTTGTACACTAAACTACAAAAAAAACGCCCGAAATCGAATTTTTTTTTTTGAATGGCCGCCATTTTGTTTTAAAAATTTTTTTTAAAAATCTGTTCCGTCAGCCGAAAATGACATCTATTCTGATTATAACCCCGTTTTTATTTTTCATTTCGGACGCTCTGGAGACCCTGAATCGTGGCCGCCAGGACGACACCTTTTTTTTCGACCACCAAGTTTGAAGTCTCATTACTCTTTGAACAACCCTCGTATCGAGGCAACAACAACTTTTTTAGTTACTTTGAACATTTTTGAATACAATAAATAAAAAAAGTTTTCAATTATTCTTTGCGTTTTCAAATAAGAATTTTTTTAAAAAGGGTCAAAAAAACGGCTTTTGAATGAGAAGACCCCTAACCACAATCATAATACCCTTCTTTCCAGGGTATCAAATCCCCAATAAAAAAGATGTCTGAAGTGTGCGTGGGTCGCCTCCTCTTGGGGGCAGGGGGGGCATGGAATGTTTAATGCGATTATTATGCGAATTACTTAGAAGCCCACATCGTGCTCCACTTTTGTACTTTCGTACTTTATTGAGACAGAGGGATACATATATACTATATAAACACACACGTTTATTTGCCCTGATTTGGGTCCAGAATGCAGAGCATTGTCACGGGATCTGTCAGGCAATCTGCAAAATGATTAACTAATTACACCTGCTTGTTAAGTAATATGTTTTTGGATACCCACCACCTGTCACTAACGAGTTCCACAGTGTTAGGATTAGTACTAAGAGCAGGAAAAATATCTGCATGATGATGTGAATGCTTCAAGAAACCCTTTGGAAATGATTTTACAGAAATTCATAGAAGAACTGAGCAACAAGTATACGTTTCTTATCAGTAGAAATATTTTTAATGGGATCTTCCCATTAATAAAGCTCGGTTCAAAAGAGAGCTAGCTATATTGCAATAGAAACAGGAGATAAAGAAGGCGTACTATATTTTTGTCGAGCTTAAAAATCTCTCTCAGAAATAAAGCAAAAAAATATATATAAAGTCAGGTAATCTATATAAATAGAAAGTGAAAGATTAAGGTAATTAAAAAATAAAAATAACAAAAAAAATGTAGCTAAGCAACAGAAACCTAAATAAATATACTATAAATTTATATAAATATAAGTCTAGTCATAATATAAATTTAACTGATCATTATAGGCTATGAAGTTTGTATGTAGTTTTAAATGTACAATTTATGTATATTTATAATTTAGAATATTTTATTTATAAAGCTACAAGAATTACTTACTCGGGCACCCATATTTTCATAACTTTTTAATAATTAAGATTATATTTTATTCAACTTTAAAGTCTTTACTTTAATTTTTCTTAGTGTTTAATATTTTAAATAAAATTACGAACCAAACTTTAAGCACTTTAGCCATTTTATGGATTTTTGACTTTTCTGTCTAAGAAAACTTGATTGAAAGTACATTTTTTTAAACTTAAAATTTATTTGTTATTGATTTTTTAATATGTAAAATATTTTAAAACTTTTTTAAGCCAAACCAAGCACTTTAAACGCTGCAACGAAAATACAAACACGCGCACTTGCTTTATCGATAACGATAACTCGATAAGCAAAACAACAACAGCTGATGAGCTGAGCCAAGAATAAAGCGTTTACCAACACAGAACCACTAAATTTTTTTACTGCAAACGAAAACAAATTTTTTCACTAATAAACTTTAATTTATTAAATTAGTCTTAAGGAAATAAGGTCTAAATAATGGCGGAACATCCTTTTGACATGGACAGCTCCAGTTTCGATGCGGAAAAGTATCTGGAGAGGCTGCTAAAGGTGGGTTTAATATTCCACTTGAAAGAAACGCCCCATAAGGAACCTTTTTTGCTTATTTCCTTAATGCCAGGACTGTTCCCTTAAACAAATCATGGACACGGAAGCAGCGGTGGTCAAGGACACCCAAACCCTGCACTCGGACATGCAAACTCTGGTCTACGAGAACTACAACAAGTTCATCTCCGCCACGGACACCATACGCCGCATGAAGGACGACTTCAAGCAGATGGAAACGGATGTGAATCTCCTAATGACCAAGATGCAGTCCATCACTACGTTCAGTGAGCAAATCACAGGAACCCTGCAGGGCACACGCTCTCAGCTGTGTCGCCTCTCCGAGAAGCATTCCCTGCTGAAGCGCCTCCAGTTCCTGTCCACGCTGCCCGCCAAGCTGAAATCGCTGATTGAGGAGCAAAACTATGCACAGGCTGTGCAAGATTACCTTCATGCCCAGAAGGTGTTTGCTCAGTATGGACGACAGCCTTCCTTTGATGGCATTCAGCGAGATTGTGATGCTATTATGGCGGATTTGAAGGAGCGATTGAGAAAGGATTTCCAACGAGCAGGGAATACGGCACAATCCCTGACGGAGATTGGAGAACTGCTGTTGCAGCTGGACGAGAAGACCTCGGATCTGGCCAGTGAAATGCTGACCTGCGCTGGGAAACGTCTTCATGAACAGATAGTGATGCTGCAGGATCAGACCGAACGGGATATGCTGGAGTTTGTGGACATGGGCATAGATGGTTTCCTTAATGATCTGGCCCTGGTGGTGACCTCCTACTTTGATATGTTTGTGGCCAAGCATTACGAGCAGGAGCGGTGAGTTTCGAGTCGCTGAAATATCTCTCTTACTTATATCATTTATCTGTTTCAGCGACGACTTCCAGGAGAATGCTTTACAAGAGCTCAACATCTTCCTCAACGCCAATATAGACAAGTATCTTACGCTCGTCCAGGATCGTGTGGAGTCTGACATAGGCTATGGCGATACTCAGGTGATGCTGCGTGCTTTGGATCGCCTTCATCGCCGCCTGCAGGCCATGAGGAATATCTGCCGGGGCTTGGAAGTGCAACGTAATACAGTTTCTATAATTATTGGAGCTGCCCATCAGCTGTGCGATGCCCATGCCAAGAACCTCAAGGATCACTTTGCTGATAGCCTGAGTGCCGTGAGACTTTCCCTGGTTTCCGCCAAGAGTGATGCTGCCACTGGACTGAATCTGAGTGATTTGATTAGCAATTTGTATGTGGCCATGGTGGAGAAGATCAAGGGTGTGCTGCAGGATCTGCTTATCTTTCTGCGCACCGATTGGTCTTTTAATATCAAGGCGGAACACAAGGGAGCCTTGTGTGTGGAGGGTATAAGAGAGAATTTGCTTATAGGGTTCCTTCGTCACATAGCCAAGGTGATGTGTGGCTTTGGTGAAGCCTCCAGCTCCAGTCCACCCAATCTGCTGCTGGTGCTGTCCAAGACTTGTCTGGAGTTGGAGCAGCAGGGCGTGCATATACTGGTAGGTATCAGAAATTGATGAAAAAGGAAAGTTTACTCATTTATTTATACACAGATTGCCCTTGTGGATGATCTCTATGAAATCGATTCAGAGAACAGTGCCACCTTAACCCATGAAACGGAGATTTGTGCTGAAATGAGGGAGACTGCCCAGGCCCTCCTGGATGCCTATGTCCGCCTGCAGGGCACCAATATCTCCCAAATGCTGCGCAAAAGTGTGGAAACCAGAGACTGGCTCAATTGCCTGGAACCCAGATCCGTGAGAGCCGTGATGAAGCGCGTGGTGGAGGAACTGGGCAGCATTGAAACCGTGGTGGCCAGTCTGTATGAGGCCACTTCTAATACAGCTACGGGTTTCCGCACCACAGCCAGCAGTGATTCCAGCCGAAAGACTTACTTTAGCAACTTTGCCTCCACCTCCAAGCCGCAGTATCGTTCCAATTGGTCCAACTATACGCCCTCGCAGCTGGAGTCTAGCTATGTTTCCAACATACATCGCTTGTTCTCGGAGCGTGTGGAGATCTTTACCTCGGTGGAGTTTACCAAGGCCTCGATTGTGATGGGCATCATTAAAATTGGTCTCAAGGTGAGGTTTTTTGTATGTAAAATGAAAATATAACTAAGTTTCTTTTCATTGAAGACTCTTCTGGAGTGCGTGAGACTAAGAACCTTTAGCAAATATGGCCTCCAGCAGATCCAAGTGGATGCCCATTATCTGCAAATGAATTTGTGGCGTTTTGTGAGCGATGAAAAGTAAGTTTTCCTATTTTAATCGATTTTTTCCAGCTCTAACTCAAAGATCATCTCTTATTTAAACCCCTTTTACAGCCTGGTAAACTTTCTCTTGGACGAAATCCTGGGCTCAGCGGTTCAACGCTGCTTGGAATCGGTTTTAATGGAACCAAATGCTGTGGAAATTATATGCGAAAGGGGTTAGTATTTAGGGTTTCCTTAAAAAACACACTGAAAGAAACATTCCACTTAAAAATCTCCGTCTATTTCTGTTAATCACTGCTAGCCTAAGGATTTTACAAATAAAAATACATCTGTTTTACAATTAAAAACATTTTAAATAAAATAAAATCTGTTTTTTTGCTCACCACAGAGTTTTAAATACAATTTGAGTCGCTTCTACTTTGCTTTTTTACTCTCCTGCTTGAGGACTAAGACACAAAGTGAACTCGATGGTCTCCGCCTTGAGATCCTCATTGCTGTTGGTTAGCAATATCCTGTGGGTTGCCTCCTCGCCATCCGCTGATATGGTCAGTATGTGGGTAGTGGCCTCTCCCTCCTCCTCCTCAATGGCCTTTCTCTTCTCACTTCTGGCCTTTCTGGCCTCTTCAAACTCCTTGGGATGGCATTTCCTGCGATGTGTGTGCTGATTGGCATTCGAATTGAAGGTCTTGGGACAATGGGGACACTTGTAGAGCACCTCGCCCGTGTGCATAGTCATGTGCTCCTTTAAGGTAATGGCCTTTTTGAAGGCCTTGCCACACACACTACACTCGTGCTTTCTATCTGTGAGATGGACATAACGCTGATGGCTCAACATGGCACTTCTGTTGGGTGAAACCTTGCCGCAAAGATCGCAGGTGGCAGCTGAGCCATTGTGTCGACGTACATGCTTCTTGAGGCTGTGTTTATTTTTATGCCAGGATCCACAAATGTCACACTGCACCTTGGGCTCTGTCACCCCAGCATGCTCTAGTTGATGGCGCTGGAAGGCTGCTCGTCCGCGTATAACCTGGGCACAGATGTCGCACATGGTGCCATAGTTGCCATGGACCATTTTCACATGCGTGCAGAGCAGGGATTGATTGGGAAATCTGTTAGGGGGAAGAAAAAATTGATAAGATGTATAAATATATTCCATTTATTCCAAAAAACCCACCTCCTCTCGCATAAATCGCACACCACATTGCGCTCCTTGTGTATAACCCTATGCTGATCCAACAGATACTGCTTTGTATATCTCTTGGGGCACTGCTCGCACATGAAGGTCTTCTCCTCCTCCGGCTGATGCTTCAACAGCTCGTGATTCCGCAGGCATTGCTTGTCCGCAAAGCGCTTGTCGCATTGCCTGCATCTGTTACAAAAACAAAATAGAAATCATATAAGCAGGGAATCCTTTCAATTGCAACTTCCTCTGTGAGTTTGGCTGGCCTCCACTTTACCGGGACTCACTTGAACTTCTCGGGATCGGCATGCCTATCAATGTGATCGGTGAGAAAGGAACGCTTGTAGAACTTCTTGTTGCAGCAAATGGCATAGCCCTTGCGATGATGAGCCTGCATCATGTGCTTGCAAAGGAGTAGAAAGGTCTCCTGTCCCTCGTGGCACACATCACAGGTGAGACGCATGTGGGCCGAGATCTTGGCATCAATGTCCAGCATGCATTGCTTGTAGTTGGCATAGCGCTTGCTGGCGGTGGTCTTGCAGGTGGTGCTTCTCTTGGCTCGGGGTTTAATGCTTGGCTTGGTAGGTTTAGGGGGAGGTTGTGGCTGCTCTGCTGCCGGCAGGGCTTTACTCTTGGTTGTAGAACGGGTTTCCCGCCGTTCTTCTTGGGCTACAATAGGTTGAGCAGCCTTCTCCTCCGCCTCCTTAAGTTCTAAATCTGTAGATTCCCTTGCAAACTCCTCTTCCAAGGGCTTAAAGTCCTTGGAATTCTCTTGCTGGGCTATGACCTCGCTGAGGAACTGCTCGTTGCTAAAGGAACCACTCTCGTTATCGCTGCCCGGCAGCTCTATATCCTCCGCCTGCTCATGGAACTCCAGCAGATCCTCCTCCTCTTCCTCTTCCTCCTGCTCTTCCACCTCTACCTTCGGCTGATCCTGGCTGGTTTTCAAGGAAAAGCGTTCGGTGAGCAAGCGATGGGCCTTCTCCACCGCCGCATAGAACTCATGAAAGTCGCTCACTTGCTGCCAGCACCTCAAACAGATCACCTTGGATATGGGATCATCGCTTTTGGGCTGAAATATACACAAAATATTCAATATAAACTATAGTTCATAAATAAAAACCAGACAAACCTCAAACCAAAAATGTTTGGATAGCACCGTCGCCACATTCAGGGAGAGTCCCAGGCCTTCGAAGATCTGCAGCGTGTCCGCATCGTTGACACTGTTCAGGCACAAGCGGCAAATCATGCTGGCAAGTCTTTAGATTAATGCATTAAATGTTTAATGTATTAATTAACTTTAAAGAAACAAAAATAATTTTGTTTGTTGATTTTTTGCGACCCTCCTTGGCTTAGTATGACCGTTTTGTGGTTGGAGGTAAACACCAAAAGAGAGGCCTTGACTGTCTATAAGCAAGTTGGCAGGTCTGGTTGTTGAGTAGCGGCGATTTTTAAATATTAAAACTTAAGTTTTTTAACTTAAAAAATTTTATTAATTTTTTAATAAGATGTTATATCTTAAAAATGGTCAAATTTAAAACGAAAATTAATTTTTAAAATATTAAATTCAAATTTCTGGTTTATTACCCCAGTAAAAACAAACTAAGAATTGCTTTCCGAATTTAAATTAATAAATATTTTATCCAAGGTATTATATATATTTTTTTTAATTAATTTAAAATTGATTAATTTTATTATTATTTTAATTAAGTTAATTTTTTTCCTACTGAATTTGTATTATAGAATTTTAAAAATTAGAAAATTGATAAATTTTAAAAGTTTATGACTTTAAAAATTATTTCAAAAATAATGTTTTTAATATTTTTCTTATAAATTATATATCTTCACCTTAAATTCCATTAAACAAATAAATAAAAAACTCCGTTTTTCCATATTTTTAGAGAATTGGTAATTTATTTAAGATAAAGTTGAATTATTTATTAATATAATGATATAACTAATTGGTTTCAAGTTTGTTTTGTTGGTTTTTTTTGTTTGTTTTCCTTACTCCTTCACATCTTTTGTCTCGCCCTTGTTTAAATTAATTAATTACATTTAAAATCACAGCAGTCTTTCATTAAAAAATAGATTTATCAATGTTTGTTGTGTGTGTGTGTTAAACCGTAGAATATATATGTATAATCGTGTGTATATATAATATAACTGAACAAACTTGCACTACACTCATTTAAAAAAACGGAATCGGAAAGAGCTTAACACTAAATCGGAGCATTCTAACTACACATTATTTAATATAATCTTTTCTAGGCGCCTATCTATATCCCAAACAGGCTAGATATAGAACGTATGTACGTATAGTCATTTGAACTGAGTTTTTGACAAAACAAAACTAATAATAAACACTTGACGAATTGCACAAAAGTTTGAAAATAACATTAGTTACATTATGGTATATAATTATTAATATAGTCTAGCTCCTAAATATGAATAATTACGGCTAGAACGAACGTTGTATGAAAATTTCTGCTACTGGAATGTATTTTTTACGAGTTGCTCTTATTTTTCTCTCAAATTCCCTAAACCAGAGGTAATATAAATTGTAAGATGAGTAACGGTCATCCTAAAGTTTACATTATCTTTGCCTAAACTATATATATATATATATATGTTGGCCTGTGCGTAAATCGTTAGTTAATATTTATAATTATAGTTTTAGCGATTATTTCAACAATTTCTACACGTTTTATATACAATTTCCGTTTCGTATCGTTCCGTTTTTTGAATTAAGCTAGCTAAGAAATCGGTCGAAAAAATGTGTTTAATAATTGATATTAGAAAAAATTTTGATTACGCTACTCAAACATGGGGGGGAGAAATTGGGGATTGGATAAAACCTTTCACTCCTCCTACTCCTACTCCTAGGATGGCTTTTATATATATCGTACATATCGGCTTTAATCACAGCTACGCAGAGTTTAGGCAAGGCGAGTGTAGTCATCGGCTAGTTGTATTTTTTTCTGGCTGGCAGGGCTTAGCACTCTCTCTCCCCCTAGCCCGCCACTTGCTGCATGGTTATGGTGCTAATCAACTGCTGGCATATCTTTCCATACTCAAACTGATCCCCCGAGATGCGTCTTAGCTTGATCCCCTTGGCCGCTCCATGATGATCACGGCTGCGTCCCTCACAAACCTGCAGTTCGATTTGCAGGCCACCCGAATACTCCAAACTGAGATTGGTGGTGGGTTCGCTGCCATAGGCCAGCAGGGATGAGGCTGCCTCGCAGGCCAAGGAGGCATTCGAGGCACTGCTATGACGGGACTCTGCGCCGCTATCCTCCGAACTAATGCTGCCCTTGTGCAGCACAAATCCTTTTGGCGGCATTGTAGAGTCTATGGTCTGCTTGACCATCTCCAGGATGCGGGTAGAGTCCAGATTGGAGCATTCATGGGGCAGGGGAACCTCATAGCACATCTCATCGGACATGCGGCGCGAGTCGCACATGGAATCGGGCGTCAAGTGGCCACATTCCGTGTGATCACCCATCTCCGAGTGGGAGTCTGACTTGAAGCCAGAGCTGGCCGAGGGCTCTTGGCAGGGCGACAGGTTATTCGAGTCGTTGCTGAGCGAGTCATCCGAAAAGCCCAGCGATTTGTCGCTTCCTCGCCGGCACTGTGCCTCCGTTTGTGCCTGAGCCTGTGCCGGATTCACAGGACAATGGCTGCTGCCGCCTCCTCCTCCACCACCTGGTTCACAGTCCAGGCTGGCCTTGCGTCCTATGCCGCGGGTTATGGAAGGCATATCGCTGCTGGGTTCGGTGATAATTAAACCCTAAAAGGAGATATACAACTTAAGATTCTTTATCTCTACTTTACTCAAGTTAAAAACTCACCTGTAGCGACATAACCGGTGTGTGCGGCTCCAGTGAATCCTCGCTATCTCGACTATTATCCGAGGACAAAGCCACCAGGGTAATCTCACTGCCTTGGACATCCGTTAGGCATATCTGTGGCGTTATGCCACCCGTACACCCCGCATATGGCGTCCCTGTGCTTATGGTATGACACATCTGTCCATTCCCATTCTCCTCCTGAATAATGCACAAGTTCGGCGAAGCTGGTGGTGTGGGCACCACTCTTACAGGCTGTGCCGGTGACAGATTCAAGGGTTTCAAATCGTAAAACGAGGCTGCTGCAGGCATAAACCAATTGGTGGCTGCATAATCCGTTGGCTGCTGCTCCATCACTCCCCCACAAACATCCATGGACAAGTCCAAAGGTTGATTGGAAGCCGCTGCTGCTGCAGCTCCTTCACAGGCCGCCGAAGTTCCCCGGGTGATGGAACCACCGGCGCATCCTGTGCTCAAACCCGAAATGCCTTTGGTGATCTGATGGAGCGGCGAGGATCCCCCGCCACCGGGCACATACGGATTGGGTGAGCAACTGCCGCTGAAAGTGGTGCTGCTGTAGATCGGCGACTGGCAGCCGCTGCTTGAATTGGAGTTGCTGGCGGCGCCCAGATTGATGCTGCTAAACTGACCCACCAGCTGTTGCTGCTGCTGGAGTTGCTGGTGATGCTGCTGCTGCGGCTGCTGCAGCACCAAAGTCATTGGTTGATATTGCTGGTAGCCACAAATGGGTTGACCAAACATCTGCTTGGCGGAGGATAAAGCCAGCGAGGCATTCACAGCTGCACCCTGCGGAGGCATACTCAATGGCGACACACTGAAGCTGTGCATGTGCTGCTGCGGCTGCTGCTGATGGTGCAGCAAGTGGCTCTGATCCAGGTGGCCACCACTAACAGCCGCCGCACTGGAGGCATGGGCAGCCAGTCCCAGCAGATGTGCTAGTTCCATGGGCACCACATGAGTTGAGATTATTTTGTTGGCTATTTCGAAGCTCACACGCTGCTCCTTGACCAGGCGATCCAAGGCGGGCATTAGATTCTTGATGGCCTCGGGAGGAACTTCAATGTCATGGCCACGGCGCAGAGTCAGCTGCAGGCCCATGCCCGGCTTGCCATGTATGGGGGAACCTATTGGAAAAAAGGGTATTAAATTTATTAAATTTTAATTAAAATTTTAAAGAAGCTTATCTCTAAAGCTTGTGGCACTAATTTGGGTCTCGTTCTGATTTTCTTACCTGGCAAACTGATTGAATTTTCTAAAAGCGGCGGACTGGGTGCAACCAAAAAGTTTCTCTGTGCAATACCTTTCTGCAGGGATTGGCATTCCTGCAGCGGGCCCTGGAACTGGCTCTTGGATCCCTCCGATGCCCGACGCACTGGACTGTAACGTCCTATTGTCGCTAAATCGTAAGCAAGCAGCGAAAATAAAAGTAGAGAGAAAGGAAATGGTAGGAAATGGTTAACCAATTGAAGACACACACACAGCCAAAGGGGGAAACTTGGGTAAATTTATCAATTACCTTAACCAGGTGTTAAAGTTGGAGTTAGTTTAATTTTTGCTAGTTTAGCCTATTAGTTTTTGGGTAAAATTATAAATTGCCTTAACCAGGGGTTAAAGTTGGTGTTAGTTTAACTTTTGCAAGTTTAGCTTATTAGTTTTTGGGTAAAATTATAAATTACCTTAACCAGGGGTTAAAGTTGGTGTTAGTTTAACTTTTGCTAGTTTAGCTTATTAGTTTTTGTGAATAATATAATATATTTAATTAACTTCATATCGTTAGTGATCTATAAATTTAACTACAGGTTTAACTCTTTTTATTTGTTAAGCATTTTTCAAGATATATTTTGCATCATTTTGGTTAGTAACTATAACCAATTCACTTTAAACTCCCATTCCAATGATCAAAACCGCAACCAGAACTCGAGACTTACCACCCTCCTGAACGGTGGGCAACTTGGAGTGGGCAACCCGATGAATACGTCGATTATTGGCCGCCACCAGTGGCACAGAGGAGCCCGCGCCCGCAGATGCCACCAAAGGGAGCGAGTGGGGCGGTGACAAGCCCTTACCCATGCCCATGGGCCCCATACCCACAGGATATGTGCCATTCGGTGGCGATTGGCTGAGAGATTTCAAGGTGGGCGGCAAATAATCACGGTTCATGCGAGACTCAACCTCGCGTATAAGCTCGGGAGGGATCACTGTACGTGGGGGTTTAAGGCGGAATTGAAGCAGCGAGAATTTCGGGAGCGGTAGCGGTAGCAGGTGGTCAGTCGTTGTGCAGTAGCGGGCGTTGCAAAATTATCAAATTGCAATAAACCAAAAAAAGGTTTTACATAAAAAGAAAAAAAAAGGAAATAAGCAAATAAAAATCATTAAATTTATATACTAATTTGAATAAAAACAATACAATTAATATATAATTAAATCAGTAAATTATTTAGGTATTTATAAAAGAATATTAAAATTAATTAAGGCATTTAATGGCTAAATAA